CTCAAAGGGGGAAAGTCTAAAAATCAGAATGGAAACTAAAAAGAATTGACCGGAAGTCTAGGAGATAATCAGGATTAGGGAGGTGGGGGATAGCTTCACTTCTTTTCTTGTTTGGGGTTTAGTGTCTCCATCCCTGCATGGTTAGGTGGCTTTCCCAGGCCATTCAGCTGAGATCGGGAGAACCACTAGGACTAGGTCATCCATCTTTAACTTTTACCATGCAGTAATTATGGCTCCCATGCACCCCCTGGCAACGCCTGCTTATACCCTTTGCTTGTGGTGTCTCACAATGCTGCTTGATGGGAATTGGCTGTGACAGATGCACAAGTGTCCACCCCAGCAACTGTCATCCTTGCTTTTTTAGAGAGGACATCAAGGACAATGCTCCACTTGAGTATGGTTCTCTCACTGTGAAGCGTCAGCCAAGAAGCTTAACTAGGTAGATGCTTGTCTTTTTGCAGACCTTGTTGGCTCCTTGGAATCCATCCAACCCGCTGCCTCACCAGAGCCCACAAAGGGACACTGTCCTCATTCAGACACTGGGAAATCGAGTGCTCTTGTGGCTCTGGGGAGAGGGACAACCCAGCAGAACTGATATCAGGGTGGATAATATAGGCTAGCTTCTGGAGTGGACGGCTGCAGAGCGGTCAGAGGCCAGAGATCACGTGAAACGTGAAGGCTGTCGCTCACATGGATCAGGCTTTCCTTGTGGCAAGGGCAGGGCTCCTCTACCGCTGATCACTATAACTGACCCAGAGCCATGTGAGCCTGACCCTATTAGCCTAGGGAGGGAGACAGCGCGCTTCCTCCTGCTGAACCATGCCAACCTAAGGCTTAGCAACAGCCAACCTGTACTGACTTTTCTTACTCTATCAGAGACTTCACAAACATCAGCCAAATTTTTATCCCTCTTTTTCCCCCTTACAAGCCTTTTGTCTTCCCACATTTTCTTGTAGAGATTTTTGGATGGTGGACAGTCCAGGAAAGAATGGCAGGAAGTGAAGGAGGTTGTGTGTGGAGGCAATGGGAGGATCAATAGGAGTTCCTGGATTTCCAGTTTCCAACCAAGCACAAGTTACTTCATTTGCATTGTGGGTGTGACTGACTGCAGGGGCTTAGGGTCAAGGCCCTGATTGGTTTGACATGGGAACTTAGAAAATCACTATGCTAAATGCCCATCAACATGGGCACCGCCCCATCCATGCCGGGGAGAATGCTGATTACATGGAAAAGTTAAAAATGTATTTGGGGTTTGTTTGCACCCAGTTTTCTCCAGGAGATAAGTTATTGAGTGTAAAAAGGTTTTAGCTCAGCTTCCGGTACCACGTGCTCTCAATAAACACTGGTCATTACTGGTCTTATATTTTATATGTACCAAAATGCTGTGTATTGATTGTACTTTCTGAGAGAAAAACCCGCCGTGTAACATAAGTTTTTCCAGTGAAAGAGTTTAGTGAGTTTCCTCTGTTATTCTTGGACATACCCCAGGAGGGAATCTGGTCAGGTGGGACCAGGGCTTGCATTCATGTTTTGCAGTGGCAGATCAACCGGCAGAGGGCGCCCTTGCACCTCTGGTGGTAGGCCGAGGACCGCACAGGCCAAGCAAGCCTTCCACCATCCTGCCACCCCGTGGACTCTTCACAGACAGCATTTCCAGAGCTGTTTCTAAAAGTAAACTTGTGTGGAGGAGGATAGGGGGCTCAGGTGTCCTTAAAAGCATGGGGAAGCTGTGAATCCAAGCCTGAGATACTTGCGGACCAGAGTGTGTCCTGTCCCAGGTAACTCCATGTGTGGCTTGGGGTTTTCGCATCACAGTCTGGGCATTCACAGGGGCTTCAGCGGTACCGCGTTGCCCTAGGAGACAGGGTTTTGTGGGCCTTTTATGGATGGAAGCCATCGCAGCCCCTTCCTTTGCCCACTATCCAAGAGGAAATTCATGTTTTGCCCACTTATATGTTACAAAATGTATTTGGGGTTCATTTGCTCTTTTAAGATACAAGATAAAGGAAACTGACCAGGAAACCATGTTCCTCTAGGGCATCCGAGAAGCACGTGGAAGGGTATGCACTTTTTCATTATATAAAACAATCTGCCAGATTTCCCTCTACAGAACCCTCTTATTCACAGAGGACCCAGGGATTAAGCAACGTGTTGGTATGTGGTAACCACGGACACTGATACCTCCCCTCTTCTAGAGGAAAGACTAAATTCAGGAAAGCAAACTATACAATGCCATGTGACTGAAAGAAGAGATTGTGTCTCTTCATGTCCTCTTTACAGAAGAGGGAAGTAAGGTCTAGACAATTTCCGGAGCTTGCGGGAGGATGAATGGGAGACTAGCTGCATTGTGGGCGGAAGTGGTAACCAGAAGCACAAGGGGCCGAGGTTGGCTCCCCCCCCCCCCGCCGCCGCCCCCAGAATGTCTCTTCTCAAAGGTACCCTGAGTCATCCTTCACTGGGATTTGTGCTTTAATCCCTACTGTGATTAAAAAACCCTGCCTGTCATTCATAAATATTTTATTCCTCTTCAGTAGCAAATTCTCCCCAAACTACCTACTCCATACTGGGCGGCTGGAGGAGGCAGCATGGCACCCTCTCCTGGTACCAGGCCCCTGGCACTCACAGTGAACACGATAAACAAAAGGACAAGGCTGGGAGATGGCGGATACTGACTGTCCTCTCTAAGATGGCAATCTAGCCTCAAGTCCAACCGGCCTGCTTCAAATGCCAGTCTTGGCTTCTAGGTGTGACAGCATTGTAGTGAGACTTCAAAATGGCTTCTGATTCGTGCCCATCATCCAAACCCTTGGGAGGCCGGGACAGGAGGATTTCTGTGAATTCAAGGTGAAGCTATGTAGTGAGTTCAAGACTGTACCGGAGAGCGAGACCTTGTCTAGATTAAAAAAAAAAAAATCAGAAAAAATAATGGCTTCTGTTGGAGGTTTATCCTACTTAAAGTTTGCAGAGATTATTGAATTTATCAATTTGTCTTTTACAAAATGTGGGCCATTGTTTCTCCCATTTTCATTTTATTTTATTTTATTTATTTTTTGGTTTTTCGAGACAGGGTTTCTCTGTAGCTTTGGAGCCTGTCCTGGAACTAGCTCTTGTAGACCAGGCTGGCCTCGAACTCAACAAAGATCCACCTGCCTCTGCCTCTCAAGTGCTGGGATTAAAGGAGTGCGCCACCACCACCCGGCCATTTTATCTTTCTAGAATATCTTTCTGATATCATCTTGTCCCTGAGGCTTTGTATCTTATGGTTTTCAATCTTTTCTTTCTTCACACTGGTTGATTTCTATCCAGATATACATTGTAGTCCGTCTCTGCTTTTCTGTCTCCCCATTCTTAACCTCTGTAGCCTGGTTCCAACTTTGTGTAATGCCATTTATTTTCCTTTGTAATGGGTGGGGGGTCAACTAGGACAGCAGAGTTCAGTGCTGGCTAGGGTAGATGAGTGAGGTTAGACTAGAAAGTGGGGTGGGGAGACTCGAGCTTGGTCAGTTCCCATTGTGTTTCTGACTTCAGAAGATCTGCCCAACAGTCTACTTAGAAGCATCATGTTCACACGGTGGATGACAGAGACTCTCTGGGGTATAACATAATACAGGTGGTAATGTGATCATGAGCGTATGACTCAGGTAAACAGACTTGTCACCTTCCTTGATGGGGCAGGCTTTGAAGATGAGTTCCCGCTTTCAAATTCTCAGTCCAAACACTGTGATGTGCCCCCCACCCCCACCCCTGGGCATATTCATTTAAGAACTTGAAACAGAACCAACAGGCACTGAGGTCTTCCAGGGCTGTGTGTTGGCTCTCTATCAAGGTTACTTTTGATACAAGGTTACATTCTATTCCAAGACCAACATTGTACTTTGAGGCACCAGCCTAGGTGTGGAGATAAAGCACTGAACACAGTGAACCAAAGCCAGTTCTTCCAGCCCTGCCATGACTTCTCCCAGTTTAAACATGTTCTTTCCCCTTCATTCTCTCAACATACCCAGCTGGAACCCCAGCTCTGAAGATGTCTTGTTAGTTACCCTGATTTCTAGTTTGTGGGCTTGGGATCACTACCCCATTTGATTAGGGTCGTTATACGGTTAGGCAGAGATGGCGCGTGAGGAGTCAGCCTCCCGCTGGCACACAGTGACTGTTTTTTCAAGTGTTTCCTCTATATGTGGATCCATGGTAGGGGTATTCCATTTTCTATCTTGTGTTTTTGTACTTCGGTAATTTTCCTAGTAGTAAAGGTGTGTGTTGCTCTAAGAACATTGACATGTCTCAGCCTCCCTGGTTTCAAACCACAGCCTCAGCCTCTTAGATATCAAACCATCACAAGGGATGCTTTTCAAATGAGACTTCTTTGCCTCCTAGGTGGTAATGTAATTAAGGCTAATAGGCATCCCATATCCAAAATGCTGCCACCCATTTTTGTGCTTGGGGTTTGGGATCTTTTCAGATTTGGGGATATCTGTATCTATATAATGAGCTGTTTTAGGGCAGCAACTCCAGAGCAAATGCAAGCAGCTTAATAAGGAAATTTCTAAGTTGAGCGCAAAGTTTCGATGCATGGAATCTTCTACTCGTGGCATCGTGCTGATCCCTCCAAAAGCCTTGACAGCACATGCCTGTAATCCTGGCATTAGGAGGGTAGAGGTAGGAGAATCAGGAGTTCAGGGCCAGCCTCGGGTACATATTGAGTCTGAGGTTAGCTTAGACTGCCTGAAACACTGCCTGCCACAAAACAAAACGAAAAGTTTTGGGTTTTGTCGGATTTTTTGATTTTACAACGTTGAGATTAGAGGTACTTCATCTGTATGCTGAAGCCCTTTGTGTTGACGTCCCCCACCCCATCCCTCCCTACTGCAGGGCTCATGGGTCTTCTGAACTGGTCCTTTGTCTTTCTGTGCTCCAATCTTGCTTGACAATTTCCATCTTTCTCCCGGACCTCACAGAACCTTTCCTGACTACTGTCCTCACTCCTCTTTTCCTTCCCGTAGGATACGGACACGCTGCACCTGGCACCGATGCTGGCAAGGCCTTCTGTATGTTCTATGCTGTGTTGGGCATCCCTCTGACGCTAGTCATGTTCCAGAGTCTGGGTGAGCGCATGAACACCTTCGTGCGCTGCCTGCTGAAGCGTATCAAGAAGTGTTGTGGCATGTGTAACACTGATGTTTCCATGGAAAACATGGTGACCGTCGGATTCTTCTCCTGCATGGGCACCCTGTGCCTTGGGGCAGCTGCCTTCTCCCAGTGCGAGGACTGGAGCTTCTTCCATGCCTACTACTACTGCTTCATAACACTGACTACTATAGGCTTCGGAGACTTTGTGGCCCTGCAGTCCAAAGGTGCCCTGCAGAGGAAGCCATTCTACGTGGCCTTCAGCTTCATGTATATCCTGGTGGGACTGACCGTCATCGGTGCCTTCCTCAATCTCGTGGTCCTGCGATTCCTGACCATGAATACCGATGAGGAGCTGCTGGAGAGTGAAGTTGCGCAGATCATTGCTGGAAACCCCAACAGCGTGATCATCCATGTGCCAGACGTCCGCCATAGGTACCAACCCCGGAACTTCCTGAAAAGATACGGCAGAACCCTGTGCTATCTTTGTTTCCCGCGTGGGGGTCTTGCCCAGGACGATGGTGACGACGACATTCCTGATGATGTCGCTGTTGCCGCTGCCGCTGCCGCCGCTGCTGCCGGTGTGGGTAGCAGGCGCGTCCGGGCTACTGTCCACTCCATTTCCTGCAGGGTTCAAGAGATATCCCCAAACACACTGAAGAACAGCTTCTTCCGGACCCCATTCGGCCCCATCCCTCATGGGATTCACACCTGCGGGGAGAACCACAGGCTGGCCCTCCGTCGCAAGTCCATCTAAGTGTGGGAGGGAAGTAGACAGAAGAGACATTTGTCATGCTGATGTAAGTTCCATTGGCCCAACTCTTCTTTCCCTACTTGTTTACTATTATCCTCTCTCTCTTTTGTGATTACGGTCATCATCATTCCCTTTCTTCCGTGTCCTTTCCTGGTTTCATTTCTTCCCCACCTTTCCAGCCAGAGCTGTCCAAAGGGAAAATAGAGGCCCAATCCTCTCTAAAACTTGCTCCTGCCCACGAGGCATGGATTCCTTCCTTTCTCCCCAGCAGAGTTATGCCTTACATTCCTCCCTACCCTGCCTCCTCTACCCAGGGTGGCTTTCCTAGGACAGGTGTGGGAACAAGAGCACCAAGACAGAGCTGAGAGGATGCCCAGCCCAAAGCCTTTGACTGCCTACCTGTAGTGATGTCTCCCACCTAACTCCTCTCTTCTTCCCCAAGGACTGGGTGGCTGTATGTATGCGTGTGCAAAATGAGTGTGTTTGTGTGCTTCTGTGTGCAGGTGTGTTGTGCGACAAGGTGGAAGTATCAGGTGTTCACTTCCCTCCTCACTCATTACACTTTCCTTAACGGTCTCCTCGAGGCTGCTTCCAAACAAACTAAACCCTGCAAGGTTGATCGCCTTGCCAAATTGAGCACATCCCAGAAAAGCACTTTGGACCTACGGCCATAGCTTCAAATGGCTAGCATCTGAATCTCATCCGTTACTCATCAGGGTGCAGGTGGGCGGGACCATAGCAGTCAGGTTAGCTTTCCAGCTTAAAATTAAATCTTAAGAAGCACGCACTGTGTGGAACTGGTGTGCGTCATTGACACAAGAAAACAAACGTTACAAAGGGTAGTCAGAAGCCGCCAGTGTCCACTTACTCAAGACACTTAGTTTTGGCATTTCAAGTTCCAACAGTTTCCCCTGCAGCTGGAGTTGTCAGCGTAGACAGGAGAACTGTTGGGACCTGAGAGTAGCTATTTTATTATTTCCCTCTTTCTCACGATGATGACTATGACGATGACGACTCCGAAGCCTCTACCTGCATGGATCGTTCTGGAATGCTTGGATGAGAATGGGTATCAGAATGATAACGTGGTTTCTTTTCCTTATCAGAAAGTGACAGGGCATTCCTTGTTTGATGATAGATAGATAGATAGATAGATAGATAGATAGATAGATATAGATAGATAGATAGATAATAAGATATTTCAGGAAAGAGTCTCTAAATGCATTTTATCTGTGAATAGGGGCACGTTCACATTGGTCTCAGGAAGAGTTTAGGGGCTATATCTTGGCCTACTGGGAAATTGTCAATCTCAGGGGATGCTTTTGTCTAGGTAGTGGAGAAACTCTTCCCCACTCTCAATATAGGATGACCCCCCCCACTTAGGGGACAGTTTAGGCTAGAGAATATGGCACATTGTATGTAGGCCCTTTCGACCACAGGGGTCTGAGGGCAGCTTGGCCTTCACACTCACTGAGGGACTCCAGTTTCTCTCATTGCCAAACCTGTCATCTCTAAAAGTCACCCCATTCACCCATTCTCCCTCTTCTCCTTTGTACACTGGGAGTTCCTGGCTTTTGGATGGAAATGGGCTTTGGCTACACTACGCATGCACAAGGAACGCACTTACTGGTCTTCAAGATTCCTTAAAGGACACAGCATCCAAATGCCACCAGTTCCAAGCATGTGTGCCATTGGGCTGAAACCAGGAGCATCCAAGACTCCTCTGGAAAGTCGATGCATACACTTAATGCTACTAGGACACGGGAACTTCAAGAGGAGTCTGTGAACCTTAGACTCTCTTGGCCAAAGTTGACATACATAAACTTCAAGGTCTTTATCAGTTCACTTGCTTGAGATTTTGTAATATGGAATGCCCTGTGCAGGGCTCTCAAGAGAGAGAATAGAAGCAAGCCCTTTTCTTGAATGTTTTTTGCTCTGCAGATTGTTGGCTCTTTTGGGTCCCAGGGGTGACGACCCTGAGGCCTCTATGCAGAGTACTTTATGCTCCGAGGAGGCTTCCTGGAACACAAGTAGGAATCCCCTGGAAACTGTTGTAAGATTTGCCCTCAAGTGGGGGGGGGGGGTATGTGTAATCACCTCTGTATATGGTGCTGGGGCACTGAGAAAACCAAGGATCTACTCTCAGTCCCTACCCCAGAAGGTCCAGAAGGTGGACTTCCTGACACCAGTGTGCCCTGACTCAGCCCTCCAGTGGAGGAGGGACCCTGCTCTGTGTCTCCATAGGGCCAGTTGTGAGGCCCAGGAGTCATGTCAGAGGGACATAGACTCAGCCTGTCTTCAGAGCTGGCTTCCCACTTACGTATTTGCGCAAAGCAGTCACACAGTGACCATTTTGTGGGAAAGATTTAATGGTAGGGAGACCCCCCCTCTTCCTAGAGAAATACCGACACCACTTTCTACATTCCCACAGAGCTGACCCCTCCTCACTTTCTGGAAGGTAAAGACTTGTAGAGTAAATTTGTTCTTGTAACACGCTCCCCCACCATGTTTTTGGCTTTATTGCCAGTTCATCTTTGGAAGAAAGGGTACCAAGCTGTCTCTTCCAATAAGAGCGTGGAGGGAGGGAATGAAACTGGGCCTATCTCCCTGTGAGTGGATCTTCTCCAAGGACTCATTTGGTCCTTAGCATGGGACCTGATGAGACTGTTCTGTGGGCACATCCAGTGATGTGCTTCCTTGGGGTGAGGGCAGGGAGAAGTCAAGTTCTGAAGGACTTTCCTCTTTACAAGAGGGGAGTGGGTCACTCCCATGAAGAGCCCACCAGTAGAGGCAGAGGACCTCCAAGAGAGGGAGCTCCATAGACTCCTTCCTTTCCAGAAGAGAAGACTGAGGTTCAGGAGGGTCAACATATCTGAGGTCATGTATCAGAACGTAGGTCTTCATGCTTCCTTTTGCTCTTGTCCTGGCTGCTTTGCTGCTGTTTTGCACAGTATCCCAAAGATCCCCTGTTGCTGGGCTGGATTGTGTCTCTGGCCAAGGCCTCTCTGCCTCTCTCACACTTGGCATCTTCTTTCAGCCAAGTGATTGTTGTACTGTTCCCTCCCTTTAACCAAACCACTTCAACAGCAAGGGAGATGACCTCATGTATAAGGAATTCAGCTTCAGGAGCCTGAAGGCTGACTTACTGCCCAGTTCCTGGAAGTCAGTTTGCCTTGTATACACTTAACAAGATACCTGACTTACTTGAACTCTTCACTAAGTGATCTCCATCTTTACTTCATCCAGGACAGGAAGAGGTAGACAAAGATATGGAGTAACCCAGAGCTCAAGGCTCGCTGATTTCTAGTGCCCATCCCATTTTGACCCTTAAAGGTACCCAATTCCAGGAAGAAAGTGCTGTCTCCCCCATCAGCCTGTTAGACATTGAACATCAGAAAGAACCTCACTCTCTAGATTTTGAGATTCTCTGTTAGGTCCCAAACTGGAACCAGCTCTGTGCTTTATGGCTGCCCCACTCCAGTGGAGGCCAAGGGAGCAGCCTCCAAGACCAGAAATTGCATGCTGCAAATGCAATCTATCACTCGCTTTGGAAGGCTTTGAGAGCCATGGTTGGGTGATTGACAGGAGCACTAGCATTCAGCATGGCCATAGTAGATGGGTGCACCTGATTGTAAGACATCTGGAGAGTAAGCTGATAAGCTGAGACAGGTCATTTTTTATCTATTTCATCTCGATATAAAAGCTGTGTGGCCCTTGAGTCCCAGTGCCAATCTATTCCAGCTGGAATCTAGAGGGACCAGGGCTCCTTGGAGCTCTCCCTTGTCTGTGCGCTCGGAGAGAAAGAAAGATCAGAATGATCACCCAGTATGGGGGCTCCTAGCCTTGCTTCCACATGTTCTTTCTACAATGGTGTGCCCTAGGTAGAGACTCATTGAGAGTGTATGAGCGGTATGAGAACTGAGGCGTATGCTAGAATGTGTCCGTTCTCCCAGCTTTAAGCTTGCCAGAGTCTGTTAACTGTGGCTTAGTTCTGAAAGTGGTTGTGATCTTCACACCATCTGAGCTGTCTTTTCCTCCAGAGTTTAGGTCTTTTCAGGACCCAGGAGGCATCCTAAGTGAGGAAAGAGTGGTAGGGCAGGGAATGGTCCTTCTGTCTTCCTCACTGGTTTCCAGTTGGCTCACTTCTTGAGCCTCCTTAGCCTTCTCTATAACACGATGGTGCAGTGATGGTGGCGATCTAGGGGCCCTTAGCAGAAGAGGAGCTTGACCCACAAGGACCTTCGGCTTGGATGAGCTGCTCACATTTGAAGACTGAATCATCAAAAAGCCCTGCCAAAATCATGGCAGGAGATAGAGAGCTGGGAAGGCCAAGAGACACGAGTGTTGGCATAGAGCATTGGTCATTGTGTGGACCATGGTGTAATGCATCATGGGTTCCCTACAGTAGGGGGCTTGTGTTGACTTTCTATGGTCCCATCTTGACCACATGCTGGTAGAGGCTGCTGCTGCAGGAAAACAGAAGTCTATGATTATGAGTCCCCTGACACCGACTTTGAAAAAATATCTAAGGGTGACAGAAGTTGATAGATAGAACAGCACCCTGGGTTTTCCTATATCTCTCACCCACAACCCCAGCCTCAGTACCCCCATCTCAGCACCGAGATGGTTGGAAGATAAGGTGTCATGATGTCTACAACTTTTAGGTGGTACAGCCAAAGATAACATTGTATATCTTCTGCGAAAAGTGCATTCTCTTACAGAGCAGTGCCATTGTCACACCTAAGAAACTTAGCATAAAAACATCTACTATAATAATACACTCTGTATAAAGACTTCCCCAAGTGCCCCCAAAATGTCCTATTGAGCTTGTCTGTCAATCTAAGATGCCATCCAAGATCACCCCCACACCCGCTTGTCTTGTTGTTTCCCAACCCAGTTGAGGGCACCTCCCTCTCTGTGTTTGTGTCTCTTGATAATCGATATTTTTGAGGCCCCCAGGTTCCTAGTCTTATAGAATGCTCATGATTTGCTGTCGTCTGCTTGTTCCCTCGGGTTGAGGAACTATTGACAAGAAAATGATGTCGTTGATGTTGTTTGGCCCTGATTTATGCATTTCCTGTTTGTCTCTCTGGGGACCTCTGTGGTTACTGCTTTTGTTGTGAATAAATAAGTCACATTAAATATTGTTTTCCTCTGTTAGGGGACCTAACTGCATCTTCAGGAGAGGCGTCCATGGATGCTGGCTCTCACTGTAAAGCCCAAGCAGGCTTCGGATTTCTCACCTCTCCCGGGGACCTCTTCCACGAGGGGCGAGTGTCAGCACCCTTTCCCTTAAAGACCTGTGGGAATGGCCCAGCTATACCTAGACAGAAGGCATGGAGACATGGTCCTTGTAGGGTTCCTTGCCTGCAAGCCTGTTGGGCCACCTTGGCACCTAGCGGCAACCTCACAAGTGGCGATGACCACTGCACTCTCTCCTCATTCGATACCATAGAAGGATGACTTATTGTCATGTCACTGCCCTGGCCGTCAAGGGCTACATTTGCTATCTCTGTCTTTGAGATGTTTGCTCTGGCATGTTCTAGAGCGCAGTCCTTTCCCTTCTGACCCACGAGATGTACCTGCTATGGCTGTGCGACCTTTGCTTGCCCTCTTGGGGAGGGTCTCCCTGTTGCTCAGCAGCAAGGAGGTAGAGATGGACCATATTGGTCCTCCCTTCAAAGTCCTTCCTGCCCGTTTTGCTCCCCTGTGGATTTAACAATGTTCTTTGTGTTTCTCTGTGTTTGCTTCTCATGGGTGAACACACTAAAAAGCAAATTTTATATGGGTCAGCCTTAGGAGAAAGTGCTCACAGAGGGGGAGGAAGGTCCCAGAATAAAGCAGGCCCAAATGCAAGTCATCTGACTGATGTAGTCTTGGGATATTCCAATGCAAATCCCTGGAAACAACCCAAATCCTGGTTTGCATTGCATTGTTTGCTGTTGAATTGCATATGCCTGGAGGGGCTGAGTTTGCCATTAGCACAGACCCAGGAAATACTCAGAGCAAAGTGCCTGGGTGTTGGAGGGTGGGTACATCTCAGACTGGAGAAGCATGCTGGGATGTTTGTCCCTGTGGTAGGTGGGGCTGGTGATGGGATGCAAGGGGGTCAGGTGGAGCCCAGTCAATTGCTTGGGGAGATCATACACAATGACCCAAGACCCTGGACCTCTGGGTCCCTGGGAGAGAGGCAAGAACACCCTTCTTGTTCCCTCTTCCACTCCTAGAGCAGCATGGGGGGGCGAAAGCTGCTTGGGGCTCGGCATTTTACACACCTGGGACCAAGCTCTGCCATTCACAGGTGGGTGGTGGATTTACCCCTTGGTGTCCGCGTCTCAGTTTTCACACTCTCATCTGCGCAATCCCGCTGCACAGGGTGCTTGTGAGGACTACAATACCTGTGAATGTTTACTGAGCACCTGCCCAGTTCGCCTCCCTTCAGGGCAACGGGTTGTTGTGGGGGCCCAAACTGTAAACTGTAGCTCGAGACCCATTCTGGTGCAGCACCGTACAGAGGAAACTTCGCGCCCTGTTGCGCACCTGTGCTCTGCACTGGGAGGGGGTGTGGCTGTCAGGCAGGAGGGCAGCCGGAGCTCTTCTGTACAGCAGGCGACTGACAAGGCTCAGAGGAGCTGAAAGACCGGATCCCAGAGGGCTGGGACTCACGTGTGTGGGTGGGGCAGAGTGGAGGCCTCAAACACAGAAAATCACACAAGGGCACAACTTAGAAAAAGGAGGGAGGAGGTGTTACTTCTGAGGAAACCACATGGCGGGGGGGGGGGGTGTCTCACCCTGGGGTGTAGGCTTTGCGTGGATTCCTAATGAGGGGAGAAGCTTCCAGGAATATATATACCTGGTGCCAGGAATGTATGTCCTTTACCCTGCATTAGTAACGAATGCTAAGACGGGAACCATGTGCTGTTGAAGCCTGTAATTGTCATTATTAACCTTGTAGACATTATTAACAATGTAGACATTGTCCTCAGGCAGCATCTCCGTACCAATGGACCCTAGAGACACACCGGGGACCAACGGTATTGAGTTCTCTGGCATGAAGGGTAGCCAGCAGGTCCATGCACATGACAGAAAGTGGCTGCCACCTGCACAGGACAAAGGGCTTCTGCGGGACCCCTCCAATAACGCTGGTGACACTGTCGCATGACCTTTCCTAAGAAGTAGACTTGAGAATGACTTTGAGCATAAAAATTGCTCAATCCTGTCGTCCAAGCCCAGCCAAGGATGGTTCTGGAAGGATGCAGGGTAGAGCCTCACCCTGCAGATGCTGGTGTAACTGACCTTCTCAGAACACGGGGCTGGAAATCTGACCCCGAAGGGTACCCTGTCTGAAATTGTGTGGGAACACAAAGGTGGACAGTGGGGGGTGGGGTGGGCTTGCTCTGCCTCTCACTGTACTTTCTGCAAGGTGACAACCAACATGAAGAGCTCTGTTGGGGACAACTTATGGTCTGGAGAGAGGTGGGAGAAGAGAAAGAAGCTTGAGTTATTTGGTACATTTGGCTATATGGTTTCCCGTTTTGTTCTTGGGCCCTGACTACTTTGGAGGTTCCAGTCCTGTTCTGGGGAGAACATGCTTGATTTTGAGTGTGAGGTGGGCTGAGGGAGGATCTTGTAAACTTCAGACATAGTTTTGGCCTTGAAATAGGTGTTGGTTTGCCTTTTGCAGCTTGTTGGACAGCTTGGAGGGGACCCTGGACATTTCCGTGAGAGCCAACCCTGACTTCCCTTCCTTCCTTATATACAATTGGGTCACAGGGCCTTGGCAAGTAATTTCTCATCCTCCTTTACGGAAGATGGAATTGCTGAGCCAGAAAGTGGGTATCTCTTGGATACACACTGGAGCAGAGGAGATAAAATTCATACCACTGCACCCTAGCTCTTTGCTGGTATTTTGGTGGAAGAGGTCAGAGAGAGTAGGTCAAGTTCTTTCAAGATGGGGCTAGATTCCCAAGAATGGGCCAGCTACCATCTCTTGTTATGGACTTTTCACTGAAGAACTGGCCTGCCCTAAATTTATCGTCCATCTGTCCATCCAGTGAGCTCTCCTTTATCTCCCTTGAACAATGGCATGGCTGGGGGGTGGGCCAACCGACAGTCAACCAAAGCCCTCCTTCTCCTAAAAGGTCCTTACCTTTCTCTACCTAGGGAGGATGGCACAGTTCCAGATGTGAATGGCAGCTGTGGGGACATTGCTGTGCGGTAGTGGCTGATGTGCACCTGCTGGTCCCACTGTCACAGATCAGGCGGAGCAGCTGTGCTATATTGAGAGTCACCCTGGAGAGCTCCATGGACAAGGCCCTCCCTGACCCCGTGAGGCTGTGAGCTCAGTGGGACACATGCCTCCATGACGTGTGAGCTCCTGCTGCAGGTTTAGGGAACAGAGGAGGGAGAGCATGCTTTGACAATTGTTTATTTTTTTTTCAAACTGGAACTTTAGAAGTTGGGTAGAAAAATAAAAATCAAAGGAAATGGGGAAAATGCGATGAGTGGGAACCCAGTGAAGCAGAACCCACAATTAACAAGATTTCTCTGTAATTTGATGGCTCCTCCGAGAAGAACATATTCCAGAAAAGGGCTCATTATGCATTTGTTTATTCAGGCCACAAATAGCATTTTGACAGCTGGTTTTGGGTTGGGAAGGCCCCTCTGAGGTCATCTTAACCCATCTTCTGCCTTATCAGAAACCTCTACCAGACGGTCACTGTGCTGGGGGTAGACCCTGCGAATCCTGCTGGGCAAAATTTGCAAAGAAGGAGTTAGATCAGACCCATCCAGAGAAGTTTGGGATACTTTGTTACTTTCCCATACCTTGATAGAAAGGTTTACAATTACACACAGAAGATGAGGAACAGAGGATGTCAAAGACAATGAACTGAGTTTTTACTACACAGTTGATGAACATGGGAAGAAGACTTTCTAGCCTATGGCTAGCTGTACTGTTTTAACCTTAGCCCAGTGTGTATCTGTGTACCTCACGACAGCCAAATAGAACCAGCCCAAGAGTAAAAAGCAAAATGCCTGTCATTTGTGTTGCTGGGTATAGACATGAAGCTTGAATTAGTGTCAAATGTGTCTCTGTCAAAATAACTGGCATGTACTCACAGGGTTCCTGGGAGTATGGGGCCGTGGGGTGAGAAGGTGGAGACATGGGGATGTGGGCACCTCATGTAAATGTGTGTGTGTGGGGGGGGGGGGTGTGTGCGCGCGCGCGTGAGAGAGACAGTGCAGACACGAACCTATTCACTTTAGGTATCTTTGGATCTAATTTTTTATTTTGCTCTTTTGGGGGTGGTACCCATTATTGTTTTGGTGTGGTGAGGTACAGTGTGAGTACCTGGGGGTGTTCCTGAAGGTGGAGCTGCCAAAGGCTGGCTAAATGCCCCCATGGGAAAGGCAATGAAAACCTTGAGAATTCCACAGGAAATGAGTTTGAAGCACTGTCTGGCCATTGTCACATTCCAGGAGGGTGGCGTCATGTGTCCTGAGCCTGGTGGGAATCTACCTTTCTGTCCTAGGGTTTGTGGGTGTGTTTGCATGAGAGGTTCACCACAGATGTCAGACCTTGGGCAGAACCCTGCCCCTGAAGAGGAAGACCAGCGACCCCTGCCCAACGACAGTCACCTGCATTCCTGTGTGTGGCCTGTGTTCACCCTCTCTGGCCACTCAGCCTTCAGGAGAGAGCATCTTCACAAAAGGCCTTAGAACACCACCCCTCAAGTGAATAGCAGATGTATGTATTATGTAGCTTACCAGGAAAATGAAAAGGCATAACCTGTATGACCAATGTTTACACATCTTAGTAGCCATCTAGCTCATGTAAAATATGTACCTTATGCGGGGACCGGACCTTTCCCTTTTCCTTTTGTAACAAATGCAGTAAAGCAAGCTGTATATATTTTACATGTCTTTGCAGGAAAATCATCTGCTGTTGTAGAGTTGTAAATTATTGCATTTTTCTATTTTTTTTAAATTAAAGTCTCTGGCATGTTTGCATTGTGTTCTGGTCGTCCTTCCTCAAGCAGCCGACGAGGGGTGGGGCACCTTGATGGCATGTCACTCATGTTCCCATTTTCCTCGGTGCACAAAAACTTCTTATGTTCACATGTTGGAGACCAAGCAGTCGTTTTTCCCCCTACTCAATGGCAGCCGGCTGGGCTGCTAAGCACCCATGCTCTAGGACCTTGCAGGTACACGTGGAGGTGGGGGGGGGGAGGGGGGACTGTGGATCCAGGAACCTCTGTCTTCATCAATCCCCCCCCCCCCGCCCACCTTCCCAAGGACTTCAGCTGATACCACCAAGGGCCTTTGTCACATTTTTGCCTGGTTGCCAATTAGCACTTCAAGTCCTGTTTGCACACAAATGAGTTCTTCCCCAACACAGGAAGTCATCAAAGTGCCTTTCCCTACACAGGAAGTCATCCAGTGGCTCCTGTGGGTGAGCTTGAGGATTCCTGGCTTAGCTTTCCCATTCCAAATCTGATCCACCCCCCAATTTTGCTGTTTCTACTTTCATAAGCCCTCTACCATCTTACCCCATTTCTGTCCACCACCAACTACGTTGGTCTCCCATGGTGACAGAAGCAACAGAAATCCTTGCATCCCATCCCCTACCATATTGTTTCTAGGGTGGCATGTATCTTCTTGAGACTGTAAGGTCAAGGCTGCAGAGATTTATATTTCCACCAGGATTGCAAGGTATGTTTGTGATGGTTTGAGACAAGACAGAATTACATCCAGCAGACAATGTTCCCAGAAACACGCACTGCTCACTTTACGGGGGAGGGGAATCCTGAAGAGGGGAGAGCAGTTTTATATGTTGTGGGATGAGAGACTAAGGTGACAAGGTGGCCCTGGAATTCAGAGTATCATGCCACTGCATGAAGGCCATGTGGCATCCTAGCTTTTGGTCTCCTTCTGTACAAATGGAAGTTCCATAATAAAAAAAACAAACAAAAACCCATAAAAAATGAGGGGAAGTTTTAGTAGGATGATGAATCAAATACAACCACAAAGATAACCAAATCAAATAAAAATCTACATACTCAGATGAATCGATACAATGGTTTGTAGACAGGAAACTGAGATAAAATAGCCCAGGGAGGGGCTCTGACAGTGATTAGCCTCATGGCCATTGGCAGTCATGATGAAGCCTTGAAGGAAGGGCCCCCCATCAGTTTCTGGGCAATTAGGACTGATAGCCATCATGGACACCATGACAGGGGTCTTGAAAGGAGACATCTTTCAGTTTTCTTCAGTTGGGGAAGGGTGAAAACTCAGCTCCCTGAGAGCTTCAATATCAGAGCATATTGTCTTATCAGTTCTGTCCTGGGAAAGACTACAGGGGCATGGCCTGATTTCAGAGAGAGGAAAAGGGGGGGGGGCAGGAGAGACAGAGACTAAAGAATCAGTAATGGCACAAACAGGTCTCCTCAATTAGCATATGGACAAGGACATTGTGCCAGGTTGTGGGGTAGGTGCTCTCCATGCAAGACTGTGGCTCCCTGAGGATGCTTTCCGTGGACTAGCCTGTAAGCCAAAAGGTGACACTTCCCACTATGCTCCAAGGTCCCCCTCCACCACACTACAGGATTTCTCAGAGCTCACTGTCCAAAAGAAACTGAACTTTCTCAGTTCAAAGCTTCAGGCATATTTAACAGATGAACCCATTCTTCTCCTGATCAGTTGACCCTGATCAAACTCCAAATCCACTAGAGAGGGGGCAGGGAGCAGCACTTCCTGGTCCCCTTCCCAGTCATGTGACTCGTTCTGCCAATGAACCTTGAGTGAAGTGATTTGGTTACATCCCAGATGGAGTATTGACTAGCAGCACAAAACCTTCCAGAACTCTGTTATACAGACAGGGTGGTCTTAAGTTAGAGGCTGCTACACCTAGGTCCTGAAGCAAGGTGACCTTGCCACTGAAGGACACACACAGCAAGAGAACCACAGTGCCTGAGTGTGTGGGGGAGGGGACTTGGAGAGCCACAAGCAATTCACGTCTGTTCCTGAGCACATGGGCTACCAGGAGCTCAGTACCCAGCTTAGGGCTGGTTTACAATATCTCTGGAAGAAGTAGAGGTCTGCACAAAGATGCCCCCACATAATGAATTCCTAGCTCTGGTTATTTAGCAAAGTTGAGCGCTGCCCTGGAGTGGCCCCCACTCTATTTTAGGTCTCTCCTTTAGTACAATCTTTTCCATGTACTCCTCCATTTAAAATGTGAGTGGCCCTTGCTTCTAAGTCTGCACAACCTCCTGACAGCAGGAGCACAAACCATGTTAAGGTCGTCATATTGTGTAGCAAGCACTTTACCCACCATGTCATCTTCCCAGACCCTAGTTTACTTCTTAAGGGGACCTCTTCTAGTTATCAGGAATTCAGCCATGAACATTTTGGAACATGTCTTTGGGTTACAAAGCCATGAGATCACCCCCATCACTAGGAGTAGACAATATCCAGGTCACTGGTTGCTCCCCAGAGCCGAGCACACAGCGTGTAGGATTCACTTCTTGTAGCTGTTCATTTTCACATCACAGCATCTACACTGCCTCTGAAGCCCACGGACACAGCTATTCATTCTGGATGTCCTTCCAGCTTGGCAAAATCTCGAGGACAGGAAGGAGGAAGCATTATGTAATCTAGACTTGACCATTGGGTGATTCAGTAGCCCAGGAGCCAAGCCAATTCACTCAAACCAGAGTCCCAGCCCAAACCTCTTACAATAAGCCAGGGATGCCCACAAGTGTGCACTTTATGCTGATATTGGTCTGATCTTTCACCTTATATTTCTGTGATTAATAATTATTGGATCTTATTCCCAAATTCCTAGGGAGAATCTGACTGGCGAAACTTAGTATGGGCTTGTATATATGCGACTGGTCCCCCGAGGTAGCCCATAATATAAGGAACTTTCCGTGTAGGCATGATAGATTGTGCTTGGTAAGTTTGGAGTCTGGAGAGCAGATGGCATCTGTGGAAGACAAAGGCATTTTTCCCCCCAGAGATATAGCATTGGCCATAGAAACATAGCTTGGTGAATGACTATCCTGTTTCAAACTCCTGACAACTTAGCCTAGCTCATCCATGCAGGGCACAACAGGTCTGGATGCATGCAGCAGCCCTTGGTGTATAGTGTAGATCAGTTGGAAAATACTATATGGTGACCATTTGGATCAGAGACAAATGTGGGACCCTGGTACTGACCCAATGCTGAACCCCAAATAGTCCAGAATATTAATATAAAGCATATTAGACTCCATGGGTATTCTTAGCACATACATAATCCTCTGTAAAAAAAAAAAGACAGGGTATTTATTGAGTAGCTACTAAGGTAGGCTCATCCTATGTTATATTTTGAATATTCAGTTTGAGAAATAGTTATTGAAAGTCAACTATGTGCTTTGAACCCCTAAGAATATGGAAGCCAGATTCTGCACTAGCAATAGAATTCAGTGCCATATTTACTGATGTAGACCCCTGCCGGGCAAGCCTGAGGACCCGAATTTGGATTCCCAGAATCCGTGTCATCCTTGACTACGCAGTGAGTTTAGGGGCAGAGTGGATGTATCAGTTCATCTTTAATCCCAGAGGCAAGTGATCTCCTGGGCAAGCTGGCTAGCTCTGGGATTGGGACACCCTGCCTCGGTGAATGAGGTGGAAGACGGAGTGAGATTGAGGTTGACTCCAGCTATCAACTGCTGGCCTCTGTACACATGGAATATGTGTACAAACCACACCTAGACACATGGAAATGGAAAAAAAAACCATGAAGGTTGTAAAGGAGTTTTATTTTAAGGAATGAAAACAACCTGAGTTATTCTGAGCACACCGCTGTTCCAGGACAAAGCCAATTGGTTCCCGAGAAGAAGCAGGTCTGCAGCCCATGTCTGTGTGCTGGGTAACTGGGACTGCTCACCATCCAGGCTTTTATTCCAGTCAGATCCTTGCCCGCACTCCAGGCTTGGATCAGAGAGCACATATGTCTCTTATACCCTCAAGGTTCCCCCAAATAATCTTATATACTACAGAAAGAGGAAAGAGTGCATCTGAGTGTTTTAAGCAAAGTTAAATACTATGCTAAATAACCTATTCAAATATTTCTGTTTTATTTAGGAACCATGAAGCTATCCCAATGAGCATGTTACTTTCCTCTGTTGTCTTTCAGTCCAGTGTTTTCAGTTACCAAAAGAGCTCTGAACTCACCATCAAACTGACGAACTACAGAACAAAGTCAAAATGCAATTCATCATTGTAATGGTTTGATTCAAAAACAGATTTGAGCCAAGTGTGGTGACACACACCTGTAATCCCAACACTTGGGGAATTAAGAAAGCAAGAGGATTAGGAATTTGGGGCTAACCTGGGCTATGTAAGACCATGTCTAAATCACACAGACAACAACAGATTGATGCTTTTCATAGACATAGGAATGTCAATTCTTCGGTCAACAGACCTCATATTGGTTTAAGAACATATTTGAGGTAAAACAAAAATACATTTTAATGTTATCTAATACTGATAAGTCAAATTATGAAGTTTTTTCTTACTAAGACAGAATTTGAGTTTGAGTGGGTAGTATTTACCTAAATATGAACCTACTTGAATTAAATTGTAAAATATTTGGAACATGTTAGAACACTAAAAAGTAACTGTTAAGAGTATAATTAGTGTTTTGGTATATCCATAGAGTGGTATAAAATGGCCACAAGCTAACTCTGTACCACTCTGTCACCTTAAGGAAACTCCACACCCACCTGCAGCAGCCCTGGGCAACTCTAAATCTCCCAATTCCACCGATCTTTCTCTTGTGGACACTTCATACTGAAAGACCCTCAGAGTGGTCCTTCCCTCAGGAGGAGACCCCTAACCCAAGGAACAGTCGACACCACTGGCTGCAATTAGCAAGAGGTTTATTGTGTGGGATAGGTACCTGTGGGCGGCAAAGTCCTTTCGGAGGACTTGCCCGCCTGCAGGCTGGGAGAAGG